TGGAATATGGAGTTTAAAATAATATAAAACTCGTAATAACACCGTAATATTTGTTTGATTTAAAAGTATATAATTTAAGTGTAATATGATGACAGCTACGAGTACATAGCTTGAAACTTACGTTGACGCAATCAAAAACAGTCTTTTTTTAATTTCCCCGATGTATTCGATACTATTACTGAAAAAGCCTGTTTTTTTTAAATAAATGGCCCGAACATAAGATTTTAAAAATAAAACTATTACTTTAGAAGAATGTGTTATTTGAAATCTATATTTTTGATTATTTACCAATGGCTAATTATGATGTTTGGTATATCTAGATTAGCATGCAAAGTAACTGACATGATATATCAATAAGATCACGTGTGTTCTTCAAATAAATAAGCTTATTTTTCTAGGTAAATAACGAAAGTCATGGAAAAAAACCATAATTACTTTAATAATAATAAAATTTTATATAACTATTACCCCACAGCTACAGTACAAGACGTTTCAAGAAATCCACTCCAATTAGTTTCAAACAATAAAATGTATAAACGTAATAAGACATTTTGTAATGAAATACTCTGTATTCTGAAGCATCTTAATCCATTCAACTAAAGGTGTTTACCCCGAAGATATAAAAAATGGTGCGTCACATTTAGACGAGACATTGTTTGTTTAAGATAGATGGCAAATTTTGCTTTAGTCTGCCAGCATCTATTACACTAGAACAAATGTCTGCATACATCTGAGTGCTTACAATTATTTGGCAGAATTTTACATTCAATGTCCTTGAACCGTGTTTATGGGTCATTTCTTAAATTAGAATTCAGAATTACCAATTGGGTATGTAATTCTCAATTCTATCTGAACACATTTTTATTAAACAATATTTTGATGCTAAAAAATTCTTTAATGCATCGTATTCAATTAAGAATAGACTTATTGTAGTCAGTTTAATATTTGAGTTCATTAATTAGTTTCTGTTTGACCTAAATACACGAATGTCAAGGTAATACCAATTTTTTTTGCTTTGCCCTCTAGTTAAAACTTTAAAATATTAAGTGGATGAACCAAAAAATAATCTGGGTGTATAAAAAATAACCCTCAGATAAAATTTAATATCCAATGCAACAGAATGACAGTAGAGAAAATGTATGAACTAATATATTTTATTATTTTTCTTGTAGCTCCGTACAGAGGTTAGCAATCAAATATTGGCTTAACAACTCCATTTCTCTGTATTGCACAAGTAGAGTAATATTAAAAATTCCTTGAAAAACCATTAAAGATATTCATTAATGTTTTAAAAAACTATGTTAATAATATTGTAAGTAAATAAGATTGTTCTAAAATTACCATGTTGATACTGAAAGACACTACTAGTCGTTCAAAATAGTCTACATTCATTTATTCACAGAAAGACATATATGTACTTTTTGTAACTATTGGTATCATTTAAAGTATTGTATGAGATTTAAGTTATTATCTATAAATACAAGTTCTGTGAAGTAAAATAAAAAGATGCTTTTATTACACAATATTAGATTTATAACTTTTGGTTTTATTAAGTTTTTTTATTTCCTATCCATAAATGAAGCAGATGTTCGATAAAAATCACATATGAAATGAACGATTTAATAGATCAATAAATAAATAACACTTGACGTCTTTGGACTTATATTTTACGGTCAAATGTAGGAGAGTTGAGTTTCTATTTCATTTTGTTTTCAACCAATTCATATGAAGTGGATTATCTTCAATTATATATGATACAACTGAAGTATTATACCACTGTTTAAATCTTGAGAACTAAACGTGAATATCAGAATAGTTTAACCTTAAAATTATGTCTCAATTTTTATTCGACGAGAAGTATGTAATATAAAAAATATCAGTTAAGAAAAATATTGTTTTTTATAATACTTCATTTATGTAATACGATTACTTAGTTCTTAGTATTTTCTTTAAAATATATGATACCTCTAAACTTATTTTTTACCCCGATACTCCTTAGATTTTTCGCGTGGGCACTTCCTATAATATCCTTAATGAGCTAAGTTTCTTAACATCTTTTATAAAGACGGTATTGCAACTACCTCCTACGCATTTTCTTTATTTCCTAAGGAATTTAATTGAGAATATTTTAAATTCTGTATAATTTATAAGACATCGGGATTTCAGGAAAGAGGGATAGTATATTTTTTTATTAGTAGAATATTTTTTTTTGAGAAATAGTTTTAAATCTGTTTAAAATAAGATAAAATTTTCAGAACAGATTTTAAGTATTTTATAATTTTATTTGAAAGATTTTAAGACAAACTGGTAAGAAAACATCGTTACGTTATTTTAAGGTGTAAAATCTTTAGTAAATTCCTTTTTCAACACGTAACATAATTTATAATATTCAATAGATTTGAATATTAATTTTAAAGGTAAATACTGTATTTGACGATAAAGTGAATTAGTTCGAACTAAGAGACAACAAGTTACATCTGTTAGTGAATAATGAAGAGACATCTTTTGTTTAACACTTCTACTAGAAAACGCTCACACTTATATGAGGTAAATCCTTTCAAAATATAACATGGTTATACTGCGTACTTATGAAATAGTCAAGATTAACTCATTAAAGACACAACTTCAACAATTATATCAATGTAATTTATTAACAAAAACATGTAGTTGCTTGAAATGTTACATCACTTCAAATGAAGTTTTGTTAGCTTCAATAAATTAATGAAGCAAGATACAGTATTAAAGGTTATTAATTATTTCAACTTATTATTTACTTATACAAGATGTATACTAAATAAATTAAGGTGGATATGTAGTGTAGACCTACTAAGATGTTATATTAATGAAGATTAATCCGATATCCTAAACTTTTGATATGTTTAGTTTATATTTAAATATCTGACTAATTAAATATTTACTTGAAGTTCATACCTTAAATTTTAGGAGTATATGTATAAATTATTAGTGCTTTATATCACGTTTTACAAGTTCAATTTAATAGTCACTCACACCGTTGTTTCTATATCCGTCTTTCTAAGCTAACTTCATTGTTTTCTTATTCCTTCATTTTATTTCTTAGATTTATTTGTTAACAAAGGAGCTTGTTTCTTTTAACTTTAAAAGTTCATAAGTACACACACACATACAGACACATACACATAAACAAACAGCCACACACACATACATACACACAAGCACACTCACGCGTGTGTGTGTGTTCATATATATAAAGGGCATTATTACGGATGAATTATGTGTTATGATGTTCTTGTGTAAATTGCATTGGGATTGCTATTTTCTCTTAACAGTGTCGTACAACGGAAGCTTCTGAAATAAAATTAAACGATTCCAGTGTAACCAGTGTCTTGACCTTAATGCTAACTGTAATGTGAGTCAGTCGTGCTAATAGACAATTATACTTCTCAGTGTTCTCAAGATGCTTTCATTTGGCCGATTACTCGATAGAATACAAATGTTACTCGCATGTAAATTAGGACTGCGTTTATTTTCTCAGATATTATGTATAATGTGTATTAACCACCAATTAAATTTAAAACATTTGGCTAAAATAAAACGCGAAGTAAAATCCGAAAATATTAGTTTCATTTAAATGTGTACTCGAGAAAATCTTAGATCTCATTACATTTGGCTGCATTGAGTGAAAAATAACGAGCAGTAATGTTATTGCAAAATGAGTTTATAATATGTAAAAAAAAAACATGCCAATGACCACACTATTACACTTGCTGTTCACAAACTTTCGAAATCTTGGTCGTAAACATTTTATAGACTCGAGTCGATCTGGCTATTGTGCTATTTAGGGCATCTATAAAGTCACAACTCACTTTACTCTATGGCCTTACTGAGCCAAGACAATCTGTGAATTGTTGGTATCGGTTAACTTATTACTTTTGTATTTGTTCTATTGCCATTACTACTTTCGATTTTAGGTTGAATTTTAATATATTACAGATATTTTTGATTTGGATTGATAAACTGAGAAAATTTATACACTTTGTTTAAGGGATTTAAATCAAATAATATCTTTTTTTGAACTTCTTAGTGTGTACTTGCCTTTATAGTGAGCACGTAACAAAAGTGAATGTTTGTGAGCTCCTATGCATACAAATAGTTAACCAAAAACAGAAGACCATCTACATATTATGACGTAATAACCTAGTATTATAAGTATTGTCACGGTTTTAAATATCTGTTTTCCTTATAGTTCATTTAATATTGATGTTGTCATTTTCTATTGAACTAACTTTACGAAAAGCCATCCTTATGGAAGAGTTATATTTTTTTAGACTTTATCTTTGATTCTTATTTTAAACGTTATAAAAGGAATTAATTATTTCAATTAAAGTGTTGTTTCTTGAGCATAATTATGTGAAACATATTTTTTCTTAAAACATCGAGTAAAAAACATTATTTTAAATCAACTACCAAAATAAAAAAAAAAATATACAAAAATTTATTGAAGAGGAAAATAATGTACACTTATTTATTGTAAAATCAATTCACACAATTATTTTTTTATTTAAAAAAAAAATCTATTATAAAATTTCGTATACATTAACATATTCGTTATTTGTACAAAATGGCTTTTATATTGTAAGTCGTTTAAAAACTATTAAAAAGGACTTACAAGAACGTAAAAACATTATTTATTAAAACAAATTATCAGTAGCTCATAATCCTCAATTATTTTCACACAATTTCTTTATAGATTATGACAAAAAAATTAATAATTCAAAATCAAATATAATGTCCAGATCGCGTCGACGATATTTTAGTAAAGTATGTCGTTTGCATGAAAACTGTACCTAAATATAGTCGGCAGATTATTTCAGACGCCGTCTGTCGCTCTCCGAAATCTAAACACATTACCCATTGTCAGGTTAAGCTTTGAACGTTTATTGCGCTTAAACGTAATTAACTGAACCAACAAGTGCTTATATTTTATATTGTGTTTATAATTATTATTTTTAATGAGTGAAATGTTCTTGAAAATTTTTGTATTAGTGACGGTGATTATAAAATGTGTCGCCACACAGCAGCCGGTCATTGGTAGGTTATGTTGTTTGTTAAGTATTTTATTATTTATCTTTACCTAAGGATATATCTTTAATATTAAATGTTATATAAAAATCATTGTGAGATTAATTAATTTTGATTACAATAATATTACAAAAATTGTAAGCAAACGGGGGTAGATCAAAATTTTTTTTTTACAATAGTCTACAATGGTATTGAAGTATGTATGTATAACAAGTGACAAAGTAATTAATAAGAAAAATCATATATAATTAATTTCATTTACTTATTCTATGTTAATAATAATGATTGTTTTTTAACCCTCTTATAAACAATAGAAATGTATATAGTAATAAATTTTACAAACTTTCAGGAGGTTTATTTTACAGCGATGACGAGGACCTACAAATGGCGCTCACTGTGAGTGCTAAAATGTCTAACTTCACCACATCAATACGTACTGTGTCTAAAAGGGGAGAGATGATTGAAATATCAAATCATATATGTTCCCTTGTTGAAGTGAGTTGAATTATGAAATTTTTGTTATTCTAACAATAATATTTTCCTTTTGATATACGCAAAAAATACTAAAAGACATTCAATATTAATTAGCACTACAATACACAAATATACTAATTAAGAAAAATTTCAAAGATGAATTTTGAATTATCACAAAAATATAGGTATTCAGATAACAATCAATCAAAAATATTTGAGAACTTGCCCTAGATAGCATAACAAGACCAAAATGACACTTATGTCGTTGTGAGAAGATCTGATCTATCTTACAGCTTACTCCGTCAGTATTTTTACGGGTCATGACTCAGATGACACAACATTAATTATACCATCGCCAATTCAAATTATTGCTCAACTCTTGATTGATAGACTTGAAGCTTCAAGATCCTGAGTAATGGATCAGTTGACAAATATTTGTATATCACAAATAGAAATAGATAACTCTGTGTTTACAGGAAGGAATATTTGCCATTATTGAAGGTCTTGGTGGAAAGGCGACAGAATTAGTTCAATCTCTGTGCGATATTCTGGAAATACCTCTCCTTGTTTTAGAAGATAATGACTATTTCGCTAGAACCTGGTCCCTAGTGAATTTGTTTCCGAGCCCCGTTGCTTTCAATATGGTATGTAAATAAATACGTTTTCATATAGAGTCGTTATGTTTGTCACAAATAATGAGGATACATAATTTTAATTGAAATCTTAAGAAGCTCATTCATACTCATTGTTTTTGCTGTAAATAGCATATATATGTACATATAAGGTATATTCTTTCGTGAATGAGTAAAATAATGTTTTTGTCACCATTGTTTGTAATTTTAGGCTCTAGAAAATTTGATTTTAATGAAGAATTGGAGGAACTTTACTATTCTGTACGTCAAAGGCCACAGTCTAGCAAAAGTGCACAGTTTAATGAAAATGGGTTATCCTACTGACAAATTTACTGTTACGATTAGAGAACTAAATGGCACAGATTATAGGTACGTGAACTTATATATAATTTTTAAAATTGGGATATAGAAGAATAGAAGTCGTCGTGGCTTAGTAATAGTTAAACGCCCGCCTCTCAAGTATGAGGTCGCGGGTTCAAAACCTCGCAAGTACCAATGCGATTTTTCTGAGTCATATGTACTTTCTAAGAGTACTTATATACCACTAACAGACGGTGAAGGAAATATCGTGAGGAAACCTGGACTTATAATTTCAAATTAAAAAAACCTGGACTTATAATTTCAAATTATAAGTTTGAAATCACCAACCCGTATTGAGTAAGCGTGGTGATTAATATTCAAAACCTTCACCATGTGTGAAGAGGCCTTTACTCAGCAGTGGGCTCTGATATGTTGATGATGATTGTGATGATGATGTTGTTGTTGTATATTGTATTTGCTTTCAGGGACACTTTAATAAGCTGTAGAAAAAGCGGCCAAGTAAACTTCGTCGTGGACTGTCCATCATCAAACCTGGAGCAAATTCTTCAGCAGGCACAACAAGTTGGTCTAATGGCGGACGAGCATTCATACATATTTGTGTCCCCGGATTTGTTCACTATCAATTTAGATCGCTACAGATATGGCGGGGTCAATATGACTGGTGAGAATATTGATATTCTGTTTAGTTTACTTAGAATATGTATCGTTCATACTATAATTGTACAAATCATCACAAAAAATATATACAGTTTAAAATGATACGGAAAATAAATATTATCTTGTAGCCTATATTTGATATTTTCAAACCATCTCACAGTTAGAAATATTAATTGTCAACAACGTGGCAGTCATTGTAGAATCACTAAGAAATAAAAATATTTCATACAAATAATATGAAAAAATACAAATATTTATGACAAATCTGTTTTAAAAATTAAAGAAAATGAATCAATACAACAAAAATATTATAATTATAGTAATGAAAACCATCCATCCATTACGTTATTAATAATTGAAGATTTTCCGTTAATGAGAAATATATGACACTTTTTTGACTTATGTTGTTTTAAGCATTGTAATACGCTTTAAAAAGATTAGCCCTTGAGTTTATATTCCGACCAAGCGGTAGCATTATGTCCTACATTCATACTTAATATGATATTCTGTACCTGCTTTTACAATAAAATTTAATTTTTATATCAATAATATTTATATATGCCTTTAAATATTTTGATCAAACAGGTTTTAGACTCATTGATTTGTCAAAAAATGAGTTTCTATGGGATTACGTGACGAATTATAACGCGGAGTCCGGTTTTAACGTCGAGCCATATGAACTAAAGGCCAAAACAATTCTCATCCGTGATGCGATCCTCATTCTCTCTGATGCCTTATCAAAACTCAATCAGAACAATTTATTTCCAAGACTTGAATCGCAAAGTCTTAGCTGCGAAAAATACGACTCCTGGCAGTTTGGGTCCACCTTGATCAACTTTATGAAGACGGTTTGTTTATATTTATTGTTTTAATCAATTGAATTCTACTAATATTATAATTGCGAAAGTTTGTGAGTGTGTGTGTATGTTTGTTACTTCTTCACGCTCAAACGGCTGAACCGATTTTGATAAAATTTTGTATACAGGAAGCTGACGTCCAGAAATAACACATAGGCTACTTTACATTCCGGAAATCTCGGAAATCCCGGAAATCTGCGGGTAACACCGCGGGGCGCAGCTAGTATTTTATAAATTTGTATTTATATGTTATCATTTCACTATGAAAGGAATAAGATATTTTAATTGTATAACATTGAAATGAAATTAATGTTCTTGGATATTATTACTACATGTTTCGTAATATTTACGATATTACGATTTAACGATAGAAACGTCGGTACTATGTTGTTGTAAAACAATAAAAAATACAAAATATATCCGAAAACCTTAATTTCATTTTACTGAATATACATACCTGAAAGTCTTAGATATCATGATATGAAATTGTTTTAGAATAAAATAGAAGGTGTCACGAGAACTTTAATATTTGACGGTTTCGGACAAAGAAACGACGTTATTATGGATATATTAGAGCTAACGCCGGCTGGAAATCAAACAGTAAGTGTTTGTTATACCTAACAAAATATAAATCTCCAAATATTATTATTAATATTTCATTGAACTGAACTAAGATTTTATTACACTACCACGTGTTTATAAAATTAGGATCTGTTTGTTGTTTTAATATTCCCTTTTTGAGAAATAAATTTATATTATGTTAGCTCTATAATAAAAAAATAATTTTGTTTATTCAATAGATTGGTAATTGGAGTAGTGAGGGGCTTATTCTCGACAGACCGTTTGTGCCGGCAGCTGAAATAGTCGAGGAAACGATAATGAGAAATAAAACGTTCAAAATTCTTATATCTACGGTGAGGGCTTAAAAAAACAGCAATAAAATTATCATACAAATTACTGTAGAAATCAAGAGTTTATTTACTTACATAAAATTTATTTATTTTACAATTTCAGACTGCTCCCTACGGTTATATTAAGGATTCAGATAAAAGATTGGAAGGTAATGACAGATATGAAGGGTTCACAATAGATTTGATAGAGAAACTCTCTGAAATGTTGGGTTTCAACTATGAATTTGAAATTGAAAATGACTACGGTACCATCGATGCTGTTACACATAAGTGGACAGGGATGGTACTCAAGCTTAGAGAAGAGGTGAGTTTATTAAAATCCTTTATTGAAACTAGATTCCAATTTACGAAGCAATTTCACATAAAGTTTTTTGCTTTTAAAAATTTCATTTCAATTTTACGTATTTACAGAAAGCCGATTTCGCGATTTGTGATTTTACAATAACAGCGGAGAGACAAAGCGGAATTGACTTTTCAACTCCTTTTATGACTCTCGGCATTGGTATACTTTACAAACAACCAAGTAAACAACCACCAGAAATGTTTTCCTTTATGGCCGTATTTTCTAAAGAGGTACATGACCCATATAACTAACATATGGCTATTTTTCTCATAAATCACATCACTCTGTAACCAGGTATCTGAAGTATTTGTTGGATAAAATAATGACCAATGGTATAATTTATAGGTCTGGTACTATATGATGCTGGTTCAAGCTGGGCTTGGAGTCATCATGATATTCGTGGGCCGCATATCACACAAAGAATGGCAGAACCCGGTTCCATGTATAGAGCAGCCAGAGGAATTAAGCAACCAGTTCAGCTTTGCTAACTCGGTGTGGCTTATCATTGGATCGGTTATGCAACAGGGCACAGAAATTGCACCCATGTAAGTTATTTAAAGAAAAACTTTTAAATATATTATTAATTATAAAAAATAGACAGAAAATATGCAATTGTCCATTAAATTCGAGCCACAAGCAATTAAAGTCGGGAATATAGTATCGCTATGAAATACATATGTATGTGTTTTTTTACAAATAAATCCTCATCGATATATAATTATTGTTTTAGTTATTTGTGTATTTTTTTCCTCTTCATTATAGAGCTTTAGCACCTCGAATAATAACAAGTGTGTGGTGGTTTTTTACGATGGTCATGGTGGCTTCTTACGTGGGAACCTTGGTCGCCTTCCTTACTGTGGAGAAGAATGTTCTTCCTTTTACAACAGTTGAAGAATTACATGCCCACAAGTCGATATCATACGGATGTAAAAGCAAAGGTTCTACAAAACAATTCTTTCAGGTATTAGTTATACATATTATTATAACTTACATATACTCTTTAACATAGTTAAAGTGTTTAAAACAACATTTGATAATTTTTTTAGACCTCGTCAAATCCGATGTATCAAGATATGTATGCAAAAATGAAAGCTAAAAATTGGCTCGTTTCCGATAATAATATTGGAGTTGAACTGTGAGTATTTCAATTCATTTCACTTACGATAGAAGTAACGTATGTAATTTATTGTATTTTTGTTCCTTGTTCTAATTATTTATATCGTGATATTTGTAACAAAAAAAAAATATTATAAGGAAGATATTCCTTTGTTTTCCTAAACTTATATTTGTGTCATTTGTATTCAGGGCTGAAAACTCGACGTATGCATTTTTTATGGAATCAACATCTATAGAGTATTACAAGGAGAGGCATTGTGATTTACTTCAAGTCGGAGGACTTCTTGACTCAAAAAGTTATGGCATCGGAATGAAAAAAGGTATTAAAATATCATAATTGCAAATGAACCAAGTAATTACAGAAACGATTTAGAATTGATTTCATCTCTTTAATATATTTTTCTTTGCTTTTTATCTCAAGAAATTGTAGTGTAAAAATAAAATGAAATTTATTTTATTTAGGATCAAAATACAAAAAACACATTGACGATGCATTACTTCAGCTTAAAGAGAGGGGTGAAATACAAAAGCTTAAAGATATTTGGTGGAAAGAAAAACACGACGGAGGAAAGTGTGGGGTAACCGTTATTTATATTACACTTTAATGTTTAGTGCTTTCAAAGGAACATTTCTATCTTAAATATTCATTATTTAATTGTAATCTTAAAGTTTATTGAACTAGAAATATCTACGTATACTTTTTTAAACCAGCAAATGTAATTGAGTAGATTTCAAAAACTTGTATTCCAATATAGTTTTAATTCTTCATACTTCGACGTTTGTAGTGCCGAATAATTTGATTAATTTTATGATGAAAAAGAAAGGGGATATATTTTTTTTTAATAATAATTGTTAACAAAAGTCAGTAGGCCTATAGGAGAAATTTATGTGAACTAATGAACATTTTACAGACAAAGAGAGATGAAGATCCTAAGCAATTAGGTATGAAGAATATGTTGGGAGCATTCGTAGTGCTCGGTGTGGGTTCATTAATTGGTGTATTTGTATCGACCCTGGATATGCTGTGGGGAGTTTTCAAACGTTCTGTCAAATATAATGTAAGTTTATATCCTATTTTCCAAGACTATATTTTCTTAGAAATATTAGTTTAATTACGTTATCAGAAACAAAATAAAGTCAGTAGAATATTTATCTTACAAAGTTTCCATTATATTGTAATAATTGATATTTTTGCGACGCTTATTCTAAAACTGCCTGAATTAATCATGTTCTATATTTGTTTCAGACAACATTTAAATATGAATTAATTGAAGAGCTTAAGTTTGCTCTTACTTTTAATGGAGATATAAAACCAGTGAAACGTCCAACTAAAGAAAACGACGGCAGCTTCGAAGCACTCGCGGAATTGGAAGCGAAGGATGAGATCAAATCCCTTCACTCTATCAAATCTGGAAGGTCCACTGACACTCATCGAACACATCACTCGCACGGATCAAAACATTCATCCGGTGGTTTGAGTGTGGCTTTTGCTAGACGACGGGAATATACTTAAAACTTAGTTGAAATATTTGATAAAAACTACTATTCAATTTGTTAATAATTAAAGATTATTTAAATTTCTGTTATTACCAATAAGCACAAATCTATGAAATGAAAATGAAATTTTATTTACCCAATAAAATATCCCACACATTCGTTTAGAGACTATAATTCTTCTAATGGCATCAAATATATTTATTGCTGTAGTAAAACTATAATAAATTTTTACAAAGATAATAACTGTAATGGAAAAATATACCTTAGGTCCTCAAAAATAATGAAAAATTCCTACACTCAGGAAGAAACTACTTGCCCTACTATCACTAATAGCTTTTGTACGTTGGAGTAGCAAGATATTTTTAGAAATAGGTTTTATAAATTATGATTGAGGTGAGACAATAACTTTATGGTTTCTTAAGAGAAGTATTTTAAATTATTTACATTTATGTACTATAATAGAGAGTAAATAATGCGATAATTAAAAATAACATTCCAGTTCATATTTTAAAACTATAATTCTACGAATTAAAACTATATTTAATAATAATAATCACTGTTGTAAAAATAAATAAGATAAAGTTATAAAGCTGAACTTAAATGAATGTGACAACTTATGAACTTCACATAAGTCGACACTTTGAAACTGAATTAATAAAAAAATATTTTCGTTAGACATAATCTCATTCAGTTATAATTAACAGACTAACGATTGAACCTTTTACTTTTTGTCTTATTTAATAGTGTGAAAAATAAAAAACAAACAGTATAAGAACACTTTTTAAGTTTAATTTATTATACAAAAAAATATGATAATTTTAATTGGCCAACCCGAGACTTTTATAAATATAAATCTGCATCGCTTGAATGAAATATTTGTTCATTATTTCAATGTCCGTTACAAAATGGACACCGACCTTTGCTACAAGCATCTTTCATGGCATTCCATTAGCTGAATAAATTGCCGTGTAAACTAATAAGTAATAACTTATTCTTGTGACCCTTGACACTTGTTAGCATTGCTTAATATTTTTTCGTCACTTAATATACATATTTTTGCCATTATAATATACATTACAATACAATACATAAAGTCAGTGGTTGCCTAGTGGTTAAAAGGCCCGCCTCTCATTCACAAGGACGCGGGTTCGATCCTGGCCCGGGAAAGTACCAATGTGATTTTTTTGAGTCATATGTACTTTCTAAGAGTATATTTAGACATCACTGATTATAATGCTGATTCCTAAAGAGAGTTGATGTCAGCAGGCGGCCGGTCGTAAAAATAAATAGCCAAAACTATTCACAACACGTAAGGAAGACCCTGGCTATAGCTGGGAAATTGCCAGGTAGATACGATACATTACAATACATATTTCTTAATAACTATCTACATAAAATGTAATGATTATTTCGGCTTGCTAGATTTCCGTACTTTAGCCATATACGAAGCGTTGCTTGGACGTCTGCTGTGTGACACGTGACGCGAATGACTTGATCTTTGAGACGGCGTCGGTATTCTGTTCGACACATCGTTTTCTTCTTGAGATTCCGCGTCATCTTCTTTATCTTCTTTCTTGGAATCTTTGGACGAATCAGATGATTCACGATGTCGTACCGGCTTGACGTCTCCGCTGAAGCTGAACACGAACTTCAATTCGGCTTTCAACTCTTCTAAGAATGGAACCTGAAAAATGTAATATATATAATGTTATTTAACAATTTTCTGTACATTAATTTTTTTATCGTCTATAAAAATAGTAATCGGATACAATAGTCTTCAATAATATTATAAATATAAGGTTGGTTAAGTTTAAAATATCGATTGAAAAATGAATATGTATGAAAATTTCAATTTTATTTTACTTTAATTAGTATAAAGTATGGCTGTCAACAGATAACAGTGTGATTATTTATTGATACCTATATATATTGCGATGTATCAACCAGATATTAATTGCTAGTATGACAGGCCATGGGATTCCGATTAGGAATGACATAACATGCAAGTCACTAAGTTCTAAATATAGGATATAAATAAAGGAACTTTATGAAATAAAATCTTTGATATTATTGGAACATAAAGTACTCATACCTTCTCCTTTCTTGATATAAACCATACATTTACGATCATTTCAAAGAGAGCGCAGACGATCGCTAAGCCGGATCCCACAGCTAGTACTATGAACACTCCACCCACGTTCGCGAGAACCAAAGGTTGAGCATCGCCGCTACTTGCATCGTCATCCTAGACAATATAATGATACTATAATACATATATTATATGGCATATATTTTTCCTTTATTGAAGAAACTCCATTGTTTATATATAAACATAAAAAAAAAATGTTTTGGATATAGACTGTAGCTAACTTGGTTGTGTGCATTTATTTTATAGGTACGACATTTAATAAAAAGTTTCTAAAAAACAATACAGATTTAATTAAAATATTCAAAATCAATGTGTTAAGATATATTTGCAAATAACATAAGCTGCCTTTAAATTGAATTAGAAATGTTTAAAAAAAAAATTTCACTGCAAAAAAATCTCTAAATTAAATTAAAATTTATATGTTTTTGGAATTGTAAAATAGAAACATATATATTTTCATTCGATTGTATATGTGAAACTTTCATCATAAATAATATACTATATATTCATTTGTTTACTAAATATATAACCACAAATACACTAACTTAGCAGAGAAAAGTATACAAGATGACGGGTATAATCGCATCAGTATTTTACTGAAAAACATTTACAATTATGAAGACTAAAATAGATTAAGTTTTCCAGAATATGCTGATTTTCAATTTTTCATAAGCTGAATAATAACTTATCTTATTTTTTTATGTCTTCATTAAACACACATCTTTAAATGTCACTTAAATCCTATAAAAACCAAACTTATTTTTCTATTTCATAAAATTTCCTTTATTTTGTAGATTACTTTCAATATAGTTGTCTTTAAATTGTTTACATATCAGAAAATCTGTTATGAATAATTCAAACGTTTAAACTCAAATAAGTTTGAGACTATTAAATTAGTCGTAGATAGCTAGCTGCTTACTTGTAAATTGCTTGAGAAGAATAAATTTTAATTGTTATGTCTAGATCGTATTAAACGCTTTTTAATTACTATAGTAATAACATTACAATTTGTATAATATTTGTCGATTGAATTTATATGTTAAATAAGCAATTGTTTTAATAAGATTTTTTAACGAGAAGATGCAACTTCGTTTTTTTTTCTCGATTCGCTCGAAATATAAAGCTTACGGTGCGAGTTCATTGAGGCGACCTCAGTGTTTCTGTAGAGAATCGTTTTTTTTTCGACATGGGTTTCATATTCTGCATCTAAAATTGAAGTTGTTGATAGAAACACCACAGGTAACTGAACTATCGAACACCAAAAACCTCGACTCAATCAGACATTCGACTACCGAGATCATCTCCGCTGATGAATGACTTGAGTTACTAGAATAGTGTTCCCGTCACTCACCTTAATTCAATATAAAATGAATATTGATTTAATATTTAATATCAAAGATCAAGTTGTAATATCTAATTAATTACAATGAATTAATGTACTAATTACCGCACAAGCCCCGCCGCCTCTCTTTTCCTTCCACCATTTGTCTTTCATTCTAGTTATTTTACCTTGTTCCTGTAGTTGCAATATCGATTCGCTCATTGGCTGTCTGTACGGAGAATCTGTGAATTGAATTTTCAAACATCCATATAATTTATATGACACTAGTTTTTTCTGCAGCTTCGTCCGTATAAAGCGCAGATTTGAGCTCGGAGCGAAATGTATAGTGTGTTAAAACAATACATAACTAACATTCATAGCTATTTTTTTATTTTAAATAACCTAGATACAGACTGTAGCGCCATCTCAGAGGCTATTATGTGAATCTTCACCGTCTGTCGCTAGTCCCAATTAATACAAAAAAATCATTTAAATTGGTCATGTCGTTAAAAAGGTGTTAAATGACATACACGCGTACAGTAGAATTATATATGTAAATATAAAGATGCTAAACTAATTGTATGAAAATGTTTTTTTACTTACTCTTCTTCATAGCTATACCGTATCCCTTACTATCTAACATGCCGCCTACTCGAGCTACATCGCAATTTCTCTCAACCATGTATTCTATAGATGTTGACTCCATTAAAAAGGCGTAATTCTCATTTTTCACCCTGGAATTGAATTCATAGTATATACATATATCATTCAATAATATCAATTTTTAATTTATATATTTATTTTATTGCATAAATCATTTAGGTTATTGTCATTTTCTGAACTAATACTTTTGTGGATGACAATTTTTTCATATAAAATTTCGTTATAAAGCAAAATAACTTAATAGGAGACTTTAATTTAATGTTATGAATTCGGAAAAAATTGATCAAGTTCTTAAACTTGTAAATGTAAGTTACTCGAACTTGTAAGCGATTTATCATTTTAAACGCTACACTGCGTTACGAGTACTACATATATGGCGTACTCTGAGTACTAAACATAAGAAGTTTTTAGATTCAGTAATTTTTAATACTCTTCTTTTAACATTCTACAATCACCTTTCGAGCCCAATTTCGTTAGTCTGAGTCATCAACTCTGGATGTGCGTCCATATATTGAAACATCTTTTGATACAGTATGTTGTCGGATTCCTATAAAAGTAAAATACATTTATATAAATATTTTTAATGACTTAGTATTTACGTACTTACAAAATTGTTAACAGAAACACATACACCTAACACATTATTGAGTATAAATACAATAAAATAATTGTCACCTTAAAGAAACCGTAAGTAGCTCCTCCTTTTTTTGCGCCATACGTAATATCATACGGGTTGGTTGATAAATCGGCTACATTTTTAATGGCGTAAAATTTAGATTCAACCGTCAAAAAGGCAGCCAAGTTGGCTGTATATGATGATACCATAATCAGTGTAAAGAACCACCACAAGCTGCCAGCCATCCTTGTCGATAAAGCTCTAAAAGTTAACAAAGTTATATGTATATTATGCTACAGAGAATCGAGCGAACGGCCTACCTCATGGAGGTAGTACCGTCGCCAATAGACATTCACAATGTAGATATGCGTATATGTTGCCACTTGATTTGGGAGGAGTGGTAGGAAAATGTGGTAAAGAGAGGGTTAAGGAAAGGGCAGAAAATGGTGGGAAAAGAAAATATATTTACAATTGTAAAATACAAATACTAATTCACTTAAATGGGATATCGGTAAGTAACGACTGATGTTTTCGTTTAAATGTCTATGATAATGTCTTTACTTATTAACTTACTTTAGAGGTTTAGCAATATTATTATTGAGATGTTTCCAAATTAATTCCTTAACTAAAGGAGATTGATAAGCAAATTGTCGACATTTGCATATGATGAATTTATATAATTTAAAACATTGTCATATATTGCTTTAATATTGTAAATTTTCGGTTTGATTATACTATATTTGCTAACCTAATATTCTTTTGAAATATAAAATGCTTATATTATATTTCAAACAATGTTTTTCAATGACCAAATATGTTTAAACGTAGACTAATATATCGAAACAATTAATATCAAAAAGATTTTGTGAGGCACGAAACTTTAAAGCTATTTCTTACACCAGACGATATACAGATTTATTAAAGTGAATTTTCAATTTAAACCCGCCGGATAGACGTTGATCGATGTTTTTATGGTAAATAAATACCAGACATGAAAAATAGACGATAGATTTTTAAAAATAATACGTGTACATTCTGTCAGTTCAGTGGTGCGTGAAGATATAGTGAAAAGAATTACATGGGTGCTATTTCTGATCCCTGAGTAAGTACACTACCCAGCGTGAACCAGAATGAGTTAGCCAATGTCCACTGATTGTCCAAAGTCTCAGGTTCTTCTATACAAGGATACGGGTTCTGCCATTCTTCTGGTGCAAATCTTCCTAGTAGGAAAAGCAGGGCTGAAACACCTACGTACGCGCCTGTTAAATAACCCCACACCTAGAGAAATAGAAAAGGATTAAATTAAATTGTCCTTTACCATTTATGTACGTGATAAAGGAGAACAAAATAAATCGTTACTTACAGCATATGAAAATGGTGAAATAAATGAAAACAAATCAGGCGGTTGCTTTGAAGGCTTTTTGTATAATATGGTAATACCCAAATTCATGAATGGACTTGTAAAATCTACAACCTTTTGTCTCGCTGCTGTTATCGTTAAATCGGTGATTGCAAAATCAGCTCTCTGTAATGTAAATACGTATTATACAAGATAAAAATTACTTAAAAGTTGATTATGATATTATATTTTAGAAAATATTCTTCAGAAATCCTTTGCTTTATTACAATGTAACATTCTATAAATAGTTTGTGAGAGTAATGTGTAGAAATGTTATTTACACCATCCATTATCTTTTCCATCATTCCAGTCCATTTGCCTATTTTAGCGTCATACGATCCGTAAACCCCGTCGGCTTGGATATCAAATGTATAGTTGAATTCATTCATCTTCGCTAGTTCTTCGATGATTTCTATTCCGAAACCTTCATAGCGGTCATTTCCCTCGAGCTTTTTAGATGATTCCCTTAGCATTCCATAAGGAGCACTCTACAAGAAAGATAGGTTTATATAAATTTATTTTCTGTCAATATATTTATTTTTTACGTTATAAATTTCTTACATACCAGGGCAGTGATAACAAGAAAATGCTTTCCTTTCATTGAATCAGTTCCTTCCTCTTCCGCGACTGGTATGACTTTTCTTGACAACGTGTATCCATCTTCTGAATTCCAAGTCCCTACCTGAAAGCAATATATTACTAAATATTTACTATAAATACTCAGTTTTTGTAAAAGTAGATATATCCAAACCTTTTCAAAGCCATGAGCCATAACTTCAAAGACTTCCAATTCTATATCGGTGCGGAAGCCTTCTTCATTGAATTTTATGAGACCCGTCAAACCGTCGATTTCATTCTAAAATAAAAATCTTTTAAAATAACTTTAACAATATTGAATGTACTAATATTACCAAACACTAGCTGAAATTTAAATCAGTTGTATGAAATAAACATGTAAAAATACGAATAGGTTCAAACCTAAAATTCGGAGATATTACGCACAAGTAAATTTTCCTATTAAGTTAAAGGATCTTATGACTTTATATGTAACTTACTGTTCTCACGTAATTAATGATAGTTGAACCCAAATTCCAAGTTTCATCGCTATCACAGGTAATATTACCGCCATCCTCTAAACCCATCGCTTTAATAGCTGATGTATAGAGCATCACCGAATCGTACACGAGAGCTAAGTTTAATGAAAGGCCATTTTCTTCTATAACATCTGTCAATTGATTTTCCGATAGTTCTTTAACCTTATCATTTATTGATATTATTAATTCCTGTATTTCCTTTAGTTCAGGATCGAAAAACCTAATACCTGTAAATAAAGTTTGAGAATACGTCACAAATAAGTCTTTTAACTGGTTATATTAATAATTTTATTTGAATTAACCTGTTACATTTGAACCGCCATGCTTAAATGGACTGATGTCTATAGTTTGAAAGTCTGGATTCATAATGAGATAGCTATGGTCGTCGGACATTATGCCAACATGTTGCGCTTGCTCTAAAAGATTTAATATATTCTGTAGCTGACAGATAACCACGTAGTTTAATGATCCAGATGCTTTGATATTTTTAAGTTGAGATCTGAAATCAAATCTGTTAGTTAAAACCGAATAAAAATATGAATATATTCATAATTATTATAAATATACCGATAATCATCATCGTCTGGCAGCTGTATAAATTTTATGCTAACTTCTTCACCAGATCCTAAATCTTCAATAGAAACAACGTTGTTCAGAAAAGGCAAAAGTTCAGAACCTTCGTAAATAATTGTAAACTCTGTCCATCCTTTCATTACGATAATGTCAGCAAAAACCTGCACAATATATAAGGTTTGTAAAAATATCTTACATTTCAAATAAATTCATTATAATAGTCACGGTCTACCTGGGAATATGTGTTGTGATGAGGGTACAAGCTCACAGCAGACCAATTTCTATTTAGAATTTCTATTGGTTCGGTAATAATTTGTGGAATTTCAAAATAATCGGCCAGCGATTGCACATGCTCTAAAGTATTTCGAGTCTGTGGTCCGAAAACTCCCAGAATATTTTGCTAGAATACGAAAAATTACAACGATATAAATGACTATGACACGTCGATTAATAAATATTAAAATTATTTTAATAAAAACCTCCAAAAGCGAGCACATAGCTCGTTCAGCTTCATTTATATCTCCAGGTGAAGTTTTTATTACCGAAGATACGAATGCATTTTTTTCATTTTCCGATGCCGCTTCAATAGCGACATCGAATGTTGCTTGATTTAAAAAATTCCCATCATCACAAATGGCCCCTAAATAAACAACATCGAAAACAAAAAATATTACACTAAATAAATATTTATTTCTATGATCAATCACACAAAACTTACCTATAATTCTCTCTCCATTCACAAAAATCAAACATTTCAGTGCAACTAAAGTAAACAATTTAAATATCACTATCATTCTCTCATTGGTAAAGCATCTAAATTTTACAACCTTCACACCAAGTCTTATAAAACTCTATTATATTTTCATATAGATAAAGTGAAACTTGTGTGCATCTTCAATAATTTGTTATATTTTATAACGCATACTAATTGTGTCGCATATGCAGCTGCTTGTCGTTCCATAGCATTGGCTAGAAATAGCTAAACCACTGATGTGCCCCCGACCCAAATTGTAGTCGCAACTTACGTTGAATCTTATCATATTGTTTTATAGACAACTCTAACGCTGGTTCTTTAATGATCTAGAGTAATTGTTTTTAGTTTTTTGATAATAATATGTAACTGCAATGAGATCTTACAATTAAAACATTTGGAAGAAATAGCTCAACACATTCTATGTGACATAGATTACCATTAAATTGAGTGTTAGTAATTGATTAAAAAGCATTAATTTTAACCTTAAAACTACTATTCAGTGCAACGGTTATTTGTTATTACACTTATTATTATAGATAATTTTTCATGGCGACATCTATGATTGATCAGGAAAAACTCTTCAATTGTACATTCTGAATCCTTAAGAAACAAAGCCAATATGTGATGCTCGAATAAAATAATAGATGTCTCTATTCGTAACCGTTTTCTTAAAACGAATCCATGTGAAGTGGAGTCATGTGCATTGTTAGTTAAAATAAACATGGTAAACTTTTGCTGTTAAAGAAAAGGCACGGTCAGAAAACAGAGGACTCTTGACTTTTGAGAGAGATATTAGACTCTTTGTTTCATTGTCATCTTGATACTGTTCAATAGCGTTTTTATATGATTTGTATAATAGCTGTGTTGACAGTCAACATAACTGGAACTTTAATGATTAATTATATATTTTGTAGCTTAAAAGACATATTTAATATATTTCATAGAAAATTATGATTTTAGTGAAAGAAAGGATTTTGAATTCGAAACATATTTTTTTAAATACTGTTTTATATTTCATTAATTTTTTGTATATCATTAGATACTTTTAAATATATTGGTAAAAAAAATAAATGAAATCAAAAACCTAACCTCAATTTTAATTCGTCACTTCGAAAGTGATCAAAAGAGTCAGTTTTTATACAAGAGTAATCTAATACTTTCCTATTTCTCTTGTTAATTAATATATTATTAAATTATTTGTATATGACATTATTTAGAATATGTACACAAATTGTTTCACAATATACATATCTACTTATGACTAAATAAAAATACGAAACTTAATAAAAATATGTTAAATATTGGCTGCAGTTTCCCCTTTTAAATGTTTACCAAAAGCATGACCTTTACTTTTGAATTAGGCTTCTAGATTCAAATTTCTTGCAAATGACTTTTAATTAAATCCAGCAAAGGAAATGTAGACGTAAATGAGTAATGTAAGCATAATATTTTTAGCAGTAATTAGCTCTTGCTCGTGACGTAGTTTTGAGTTGAAGAAACATAAAATTTGTCGGGCGTATTCTGTTATATTTGTTTTACTTCTAAGAGTTATAAATTTAATTTTTATTAGGATTCTTACTGATAACTAGAAGTAGATCAGATTATTTTGAACAATATATTGACTATTGAAAATTTATCTGAAGTCGGGACATATTATTATACTTACCCAATTATCATTAGGTTGATAGTTAAATCTAAGACTTTCGCAAGTATTCATTGAAAAAAAACTATTTTTTTTTGGAATTACTACGCGTTCATAATTACTTTAATAACATGCTCGTGACGTTTCGTTTCCCTATATTCACATCTCGGCTGCCAGTGATTACGGTTGCTTTAAAATAACTGAAACGTCGGGAGTATGTTGTAAAAAATAATTATAAATGTTCCTACATTATACTTTTACAATCACCATAGGGCAATAGTTATAATTTGTACTACATATAATTAAAATCTTTAGTTAGTTTTGGTTAGTTTGACATTTTATTTCTTATTATTTTCTTTACACAATTCTATTATACGTTAATATGTTTATGCCATTGTGCCTCAATTTTAAGATATATCTACTGCACACAAATGACATTAATGTCCACGAGATACGAACCCCGGGGACATCAGAGTATCAACTTTATAGCTCTGTGGAAATTGGTTGACGAAATATATTACCTAATTATTGCCCTTATGAATCTAGTGAAAATTGTCTTTCATTACAAGGATTCACTCACTGCTTCGCTCGCTAATTTGATGTTTTATATGGACCTTTCACTTTTCATATTTACAAGGTAAAAATATTTTTGTACTATTACAATACCTTATATATCATTAGTATATTTTCTGCGTCATTGATATACAAAAACTCATATACAAATAAAACAAATGAGACTCACACATACACAATTTATAATATAAATATTAAATTTCTCAACAAGTAACAAGTCGTTATATGGCACTGTATAATATATGAGAAGGTTGCAGATGTTTTATCTTGAAGACAAAGTGAATTTTAAATTGAATACTCAAATAAGTGCTGTTTTCTTTGTGTCTGTATCAAAGGCATAATAAAATAATTTTAAATTTTAACGCGAACGTTTTCACATCCAGTATGATACACGTTAAGCTTTGAGATGAAGTAAATTGTCGTTTGAGATAGGAAAATGTCGAAAATCGGTTACAAATGCCTTTCTTTTATTTCTGATTTTACGCTTTAGTGATGTATATATTTTTTATCACCTATAAAAGGCTGATAAGTTTTTGTTTTGTCTCTTCTATATACAAGATTAGTTTTGCCTGCGACTTTGTTTTCTTCAACTTTAGTATTAGAAATGTATAGCCGACCCCATCATTTCTGTTTGGCTCTGAAGACAGTAAATTTGTAGTTTTGTATTTTATAAGTTATTTTTTCTATCTCAGTAGAACATACCGTTCTATTTACATTTTCTTGTTTTAAAGTTCCTCCCTTTTCAGCTAAATTAGTGCAGCCCTTCTTGAGTTATAAATGGTGTAACTAACACGACTATCTATTGTCTTCTTCTTCTACCTGGCAATTTCCCAGCTATAGCCAGGGTCTGCCTTACATGTTGTGAATAGTTTTTGGCTATTTGTTTTTACGACCGGCCGCCTGCCTGACAATCAACCCTCTTTTGGGAATCAACATTAATCAGTGATGTCTAAATACTCTTTAGAAAGTACATATGATTCGGAAAAATCACATTGGTACTTGCCCGGGCCAGGATCGAACCCGCGCCCTCGGCGACGAGAGGCCGAGAGGCGGGCCCTTTAACCACTGAGCCACCACTGACTGAACACGACTATCTATTGTATATACATATATTTAAATATTGGTAATAAGCCCACAATAAACATGAACTTGAATGAATAGAATATAATAAATAAGAGAAATTTAGCAAAAACCCGTCGTCGTCGTGCCTTTTTATTGTGTGCCGCACAATTTTCTTGAAACTTTACTATTAAAAAATTCTATTGCTAGTTTAAAATATGCTACTGTTTAACCTATGCGTTCTTCAAAATATACGAAAGAGATAAAGAAAAGATAGCAATAAAATAAGAACGGTTTTGTTATCCTTATTTAAAAAAAACAACAAATAAATGAGTTAAAATTAAATTATTATCATTGCTTTCTTTTAATGTTACAAAGAGTGGATAACATTTGTTAGTAAACCACCTATTATGTGGCTACCTGTAATTTCTGTCAGCCTTTTAATAGTTATTTTATGACATATAGATAAGGACATTGTCTCTGAAGATAGAAAATATAAAGGGATTGGGAAATAAAGGCTAGGCCTATTGTCTTTTAATTATATAAACAATTTCTTTGTTGAATGAAACGTAATGTTAGTCAAATTATGTAAAGTATAATTTTCAAAGAAAAATAAAAAGTAGATTTTCTTCCATTTATAGGATTCAAACTATATATTTTTATCTACATAAATAATGATTTATTTATATAAAAAGGATGTACTTAATAGAATATTTACGTTGTAACAGTTGTGTGAGGAATTTTTTTCTTATTATATTTTAAGCGTTCTTCAATTCTGAATACAATATATATGTGTATTTGTAATATAATATAATATAAATATTACGAGAAAGAAAGAATTAATAAGTTACTAATATATAAATGTTCAAAATATATTTTGTATTCAATAATACTAAAAAATTTCACTGTTAAAATAAAAATTGGTTCCAAAATAAATCCAAGCTTGTAGAGAGGTTCACTAATGGCATTTTACCACTCAGTAACAACTTCAAATTAACTTCAAAATGCTTGCTTCGTATGTTAAATCTGAGTATATCTTTTGTTATGAAGACAATAGCAACATGAACATACAGTTACATACATAGAAATATAAAACGCCACAAGTAACGAACACATTGTTCTTGAGTGACGAAGTTTTGTAACCAATACTCGTAAAAGCGGGCAACTTGTTCTTGGGTAGAAATATGAAATGGTATCATGATAGTTACAGAACAACTTTCGTATGAAAAATATATTATTATAGATAATAACGGGAAAGATCTTTTTATTCATCTAGAAGTAATCGTAGTAAACAGATGTCAATGAGTAATTGAGACTTCTACAGAATATAAATTCATGTCAAGCCTTCTGAAATTGTAAGTGCGAAACTTTGTAAGGATGTATAGATATGTATGTATATGTATGTATGGATATTTTTCAGTCTGTCAAGGGAAAAATGCTAAAGGGATTTTAATAATACTTCAAACTATTGTAGCTTAGACATAAAAATAATTTGTAGGCTATAATTTATTCCGAAATTTCGCGTCATTATCATATTATCAAATAATAAGATTTGTATTATGTTTGAAATCACGTGCGCAGTCGATAGATGTAACTTCCTGTTGGTTATCATGTTTCTAAGCCTTGTTATTCCATAGTCCACGTCGAAAAAGTCACTAACAGAAACTAGTACAATTAAAAAGAATATTGCAATCCTAAAATGATGATATATGTATGGATAAAAAGTAAACTACACTGATAATATATTTCGCAGCAGAGCTTTTAAT